TGAGTTGTGTGTCTATATTTAAAACATACAAAGCCCATGCTTGGCTCATGCCTATAATCCTAGCTACTAAGAAGGCAAGGATCTGAGGATCATGGTTTGAAGCCCAAAGTCTGTGAGACACTTTTTTTTTTTTGCTAGTCTCATTGTATTTATTAACTTATGTTTTATTTAGATTGTATTGTAAAGATGATATATAGAGGGGTTACAGTTACATAACTGAGTACATTTCTTTTTGAGCAGTGTTACCTCTCCCTCATTTTCTCCCACTTTTTCCCCTCCTGATCTACTTCCCCCCAGGTTGTAAAATTCATTTCCAACATAATGTCTAATGAATATCACTGTTGAATTGGTTCACCCTTTGTCCCACTGTTTCTTGATTCCCCTTACCTCCCCCAAGGCAGATAAATTTAAACTACTCCTAAAAAGCCACAAGTGGTGCTGTGACCAGAGCACAAAGAGGCTCAGAGACAGCGCCCCGACCTGAGTTCAAGCCCCAGGAGTGGCAAAAAAAAAAAAGTTTTGGAGGCTTTGAGTGTGGCTCAAGTGGTAGAGTGCTTGCCTACTAAAGCCTTGAGTTCAAGCTTCAGTAAAACAGCCTGACATACAAATACAAATACACACAACAAAAGAAAAATTTGTTTGTTTATTTTTGTCGGTGGTGGGGCTTGAACTCTGGGCCTGCGCGCTGTCCCTGCGCTCGAGCGCTCTACTGCTTGAGCCACAGCGCCACTTCTGGTTTTCTGGTGGTTTATTAGAGATAAGAGTCTCAGGATGTTCCTGCCAGGGCTGGCTTTGAACTGAAACCCTCAGATTTCAGCCTCCTTAGTAGATAGGATTACAAGCATGAGCCAACGGCGCCCAGCAAATAAAAGTTTTAAAGTGTGATGCTCATTTTGTATGACGTGACAGAAGGAGAAAGGGGACAATTATAGACTACAGAGAAGACAACTACAGATTACAGAAGAGACAATTACAGACTATAGTTTCAAGAGATATTTACTTCACACTCAACACGGTACCATTTCTTTAAAATGCAAATCAAAAAAGCACACACTAGAGGTGCTGCCTCAAACATTGATTTAAAAACCATACAGACCCCCATTGCAACAATGAGATGTACAAGTCATTATGTCGAAAACGAACTTTACAACTTTCATGCAGGGGGGCCGAGGGATGGTGAGGGGAGGATTGGGGAGGGTGAGGGGGGAGGATGGAAGGGATGGCAAGGGGAAACAAAGGAGGAGGCTACAATGCTTGATAAGAAATGTACTCATTATCTTGCCCATGTAATTGTAACTCCTCTGTACAGTATTTTCACGATAAAAAAATAAAAAAAAACCCATACAGACCATCTCTATTTAATTTTAATTATGCATCTGAACAGTCTTTTGTTGCTGAGAAATTAAAACTAAAATCCTAAGGTATTTTTTAAAAGAAGGTTGCATTATTTACAGTTTGACAGTGTATTTTCTCTGCCTTGAGGCCCTGTTGAACCACTCCCAACAAACAAAAAAACCAAACAGCTAAACAGATTAAAGTCCATCTGTGTTAAATGATGCTGTCGGAAGTTACAATGTTCCCAGTGAGAGGATTTTCTAGAAAATAATTAGAAACCATAACTCTAACAAGTTCTATTATAAGCTTAAATATCAATAGAATGCCTTACGTATACACAACGAGCGGTAAATATTTCAAATTCAGAAAAGTACAGAAACTTTTTGTAAATAAGTGTACACACAATCTTTAAATTCTTTTTTTCCTCTGATTTTTCTGTATAGAATAGCTCCCAGTTATTTAAAGGTGATCATGTTAATTGTTACGAATGAAAACTAATTCTTTTACGGTTCTGTATTTAGCTTACTTTTTCTCTACGCCATGGCCGTTTCTCTTAAGACCTTGAACTTTGCCAGCCATAGATAGAGGGGAAGTTTGCATATTTAACCAAGCGGAAGTTTGTTTATTTAATGCTAAAATAATTAAGCTCAAACAACCCTACCTTGTTTTACTAGTTTGATCATGTGAACAGTTAGTTGTGAGTTCAGGCTGGGGTGCCAGTGGCTCATGTCTGTAGTCCCAAATAAGAGGAGGCTGAGATCTTAGAATAAGTATTTGGAGGCAGCACCAAATGTGAGTGACAAAGCCTCGCAGGAGCAAGAGGCCCTGAGTTCAAGCCCCATTACAGAGGTGGGATGGGGTGGGAGACAAAAGTGAGTCAATGGATTTGAGTTGGGGTAAGGGTGATTGGGGACGGTGGTGAATTCTTTCTAATGGTCATGCTACCTAAAGGCAACAGAGAAGTTTGAAGTAAAGTTTTCCCACAACTTTATATGCAATCACAAAATCCATAAAAAAGTATCAGAAAAGGGAATATCACTTATGTTGGTGGTTCTTAAGGGAAGTAAAGGAGTAAGCCATAGAGATAAGGGTGTTCATGCAGAGCAAAAAACAAGTCCTGAAGCCCTTAAGTGAGAACATGCTTATTGGTCCAAGGAAAGGAAAAAGAGCCTTATGATTTGAGTGTATGAACAAAAAAAAGGGGGGGGGGGTGGGTAATGACAGGAGATAAGATTGGAAAGTTGGAGAAGGTGGGAAGATTTAAAAAAAAAAATCAGATTATGGGCCCTTGTAAGGCCTTCAGCTTCTAGACAGATCCGCTCATTTGGATGGTTTGATGAGAATTTTGACATAATCTGATTTTTGAAAATCACTAAGCTGTTTGTTGAGGTGGGCAATGATGAGGCAGGAAATAATTATTACAATCTTGCAGTTGCGAAATAGAGACCTGTGTAGTAAGAAGTGAAAGCTCGGGTGTAGTTTAATGGTAGAGCACCTATGGGTGAGCTTGTGGGATACTCAGTACCTTTCATATATAGTTGGTAGTATGGCAACTTCTAAAGGTGACTATAACCTTGAGTTTTATTTAATGTCACAATCTGTGGTAGTCATTATCTTTAATAACTCAATTTTAGTTAGTGGGCACCTTGTGTCCTTCAGGTTGGCCCTACCTGTGGCTTTTTTTTTACAAGGCTCATAGTTTTTTGAAGCTTGTGGAAAATAGAATCACAATGTAAGGATATAATATTGTTAGCTTTCTATAATATCGATAGCTTCCTATAATACTGGAATTTGTGTGTGTGTGTGTGTGTGTGTGTGTGTGTGTGTGTGTGTGTGTGTCTTACTTTTGTTGGTTATTTTGGAGATGGAGTCTTAGACTTTTCTGCCCTTGATGGCTTCAAATGTCAGTCCTCCAGATCTCAACCTTCTTAGAAGGTAGGATTATAGGCATGAGCCACTGGTGCCTGACAGTACCAGAATCCTGGTCAAGTTAAATGTGAAGTGGTAGTAGGCACCAGATAATATTTGCTTCAAGTCTTTTCAAGGCAAAGAACAAAGGAAGGAGTATTAATGTGATTAAGTGAAACATGAGTTTGTATTCAATTCAAATTAGTAACAGAATTTTTAATTCTGTGATTTTATATTTGAATCTCCCTTATTTTATATTTGAATCTCCCTACTATTTGGTAGCATTTGTAGAAAGACTACTGAATGTGGTTTAGGACTTTTTTTTTTTTTTTAAGATTTTCTTCCTTTTTGGATACATATTGCTATATGGATTTGTTGCTTTAAAAGTGCCTTGGGTAACCCTAAGTGATTATGTCGACATTATGCAAATAGCTTGCTTTACTTGTCTTTAATTTTTACATTTTTTTCTTTTTCAATTTAATTTGTATCTTTACTTAAAATGGGTATGTAAAGCTAGGTATAATGGTCCAGTCCTCTAATTCCAACACTTGGGAGGCTGAGACAAGATCATCAGTTTAACACCAGTCTGGGCTCAATTACAGCAAGATTTGTCTCAAAAAAAAAAAAAAAAGAATAAAATTAACTGTGAAACATGGTATAATTTGAGAGATTTAGCTTCCATCTTTGTTTCTTCCATCCTACTTTCTCCATAAATAAGCATTTAAAAATGGTTTTGGCCTAGTTACAGGCTGAGAAATAGGGAACTTTAAGGTTTTTGACTCTTGAGACTTGCCAATCTCAATTTTTCACTTCTTACAAAAGACTTTTTGTTATATTTCTAGCTATTTCCTAAGTATCTCAAAGAATGTACATGTTTAACAAAGAAAAATCACCCCAACCCATTTGTCAGTGTTTGGCAAAATTGCATGTCCACCATTCTCCCTTCTTGCAGTCTTTTACTAAAGTTACTATTGACAAAAATATAGAATGTAACATGATTTTGTCTGATTCCATCTTTGGACTTGAACTCAGGGTCTGCTCACTGTCCATGAGCTTTTGTGATCAAGGTTAGCATTCTACCACTTGAAGCATAGCTCCACTTCTGACATTTTGTGTTTAGTTGGAGATAAGAGTCTCATGGACTGTCCCGCCTGGGCTGGCTTTGAACCATAATCCTCAGATCTCAGCCTCCTGAATAGTTAGGATTATAGGCATGAACCACTGGTACCCAGCTAAGATTTTGCCATTTTACAATATTTGAATTTCATCAATTGATGTTACATAGTTTCTCAGGGTACCCCACAAACATGACAGTCATTGTTTTAGGTGTTTAAAGTGTTTTAGAATGTGAATGTAAGTAAAACTGACAAACATCTTCTTCTGATAGGCATTATAAATAGACAGTAAGAAAACAATATATAAACTATTATTTGAGTGTGTTCAAAATGTATAATTTTAGGGCTCCCTGTGTCTAAATCTTCCTTTTTGTTGTTGTTCCAGTTTGTAAATTACACTAAGAAATTGTGAGTCCCAACTAAGTGAAAGACATGAGGACTGAAGCATTCTGGTCTTGTGGGGACAATAGCTAATTTTCTCTCCCACCCATGTCATCTTTTTAATAATATTTTTTTATTAAGATGTTGCTCAATAACTGCCTTGAATAGTTTGCTTTAGTCAGTACAACTTAGGTAACATCCTTTATGATTTTATGACTTTTGTTATATATTTGAGTCACATTCTTAATAAATGTCTTTCAGAAATGGCCATTAGGAAGATGCCGAGAAGAAACAATGATGAAATAGTCCATTTTTTATAAGATGCAGCTGTGGATTTTCAACCAGATCAGTAAGTGGGCTCATACTTATTTTTTATTGTTTTTCAAATTAATATAACTATTAATGAAATTGTGGACACTAAAAAATTGTCACCTATTTCTGTTTTTTCTTTGTAGGATGAATTCTAGTATATAGTTTTAGAAAACGTGTATCTCTGCTGTACCTTCTTAAGAACTGTAAAAGTAATTTTATTGAATCACAACTTCAGAGAAAATGTATGGGAAAAGAGTCAATATAATATCACTAGCCAAATACAGCTACTAATTTACTTCTGGAAATTTACTTTTTCTCTGCCTTTTGACTACTTTTGAGTCTATTTTTTATTTTTCTGGGTCATGGGGCCTGAACTGAGGATCTGGGTGCTGTCTCTTAGCTTTATCGCTCAACGCTAGTGCTCTACTACTTTGAGCCACTGTGCTACTTCCTATTTTCTGGTGTTTAATTGGATCCCAGTCTGGCTTCAAACCACAGTCCCCTGGTCTCAGCCTCCTGAGTAGCTAGGATTACAGGTATGAGCCATCAGCACCCAGCCTGGCTTTGAATTTTGATCTCAACCTCGTGCATTACAAGGATTATAGGCATGAGCCATTGGTACCTGGTTTGTTCTATGTATTTTTTGGGGGGGGGGGAGGGGTCCGGTCAGGGGGCCTGAACTCTGGGCCTGGGTGCTGTCCCTCAGCTCTTCAGCTCAGGGCTAGCGCTCTACCACTTGAGCCACAGTGCCACTTCCAGCTTTTTTCTTTTTGCTTATGTGGTGCTGAGGAATCGAACCCAGGGCCTCAGGCATGCAAGGCAAGCGCTCTACCACTGAGCCACCTTCCCAGCCCTGTTCTATGTATTTTTTGGGGGGGAAGGTGGGGTCAGGTCGTGGGACCTGAACTCTGGGCCTGGGCGCTGTCCCTCAGCTCTTCAGCTCAAGGCTAGAGCTCTACCACTTGAGCCACAGCGCCACTTCCGGCTTTTTTCTTTTTGCTTATGTGGTGCTGAGGAATCAAACCCAGAGCCTCAGGCATGCAAGGCAAGTACTCTACCACTGAGCCACCTTCCCAGCCCCTGTTCTATGTATTTTTAAAAATATAATTTTGACTATAGTATTGTAAAGAGTTTGCTTCTTTAAAATCTTTTAAAATTAAATTTGTTTCAGATATTTCTTACTGGAACTGGAAATGTGCTCTTAAATTAAGGATAAGATTTTTTATTGGGATGATGAAAATGTTCTGCAACTATATTATAGTAATGATTAAAAAACTTTGTGAATATATTACATACTTATGTTGGAATGGATGCCATTTTACATATTTTATATCTTTAAAAAAATCAAGCTTTAGAATATGCAGTCTTGAATGAAACTTGAGCTTTAAATTTTTTAGAATATGAAATTATGCCACATATCATTATAAGCCTAGCAAAAATAATTTGATATTTAGTCAGTAAAGAAACTGTTTTATAATAACAAAATGATACATTTTGTAATATGTTTTTGTTTAAAAAGTACTTTTATTATTAAAAAGTCTGTCCTTCTAGCCTGGTGCTGGTGGCTTATGCCTGTAATTTTAGCTACTTGGACTGGGATCTAAGGATTAAGGTTTGAAGCCAGACAGGCAGAAGAGTCTGTGAAATGGTTATCTTCAACTAACCAGGAAAAAGCCAGAAGTAGAGGAGTACTCAAATGGTAAAACTCAAGTCTTGAATAAAGCCAAGTTAGAGTATGAGGCTCTAAGTTCAAAACCTAGGACTGTGACACATATACACAGGCTATGATACTAAAAACAACAAAACAAACAAACAAAAAACCAAGTCATTTGACTCATATTTGTCGTTGTTTATTAAGGCTTCAGGTGCTATAGTTCTATTTAACTTAAAAGCAAACTTTAATCTTAAAAATGTGGAATAGTTTATAATTTGTTAGATACTTTTTGTTTTATTTTCTAATCATAAAATTTTGTGTTAGCTGGCTTGATTTTATTTTTTCAGCTATTTGCTTTACATTAATAAAAAAACAACAAACAAAATTAAGAATAGATTGAAACTCCATGTAAGTTGCCACCACAGAACAAAAATGCTGATCAAGTTAGATTAACCTCTATAATGTGTACTGAAAAGAAAACCTCTCTTCTCACTCCCAATTTGAAGAACAAGCAGTTTCCCTGCCAAGAAAGACTGACTTTAAATGGACCAGCTGTCCATATTAGGAGCATAGGGTTGCTAAGGTGATCATGACTGTTTGGTGAAGAATGCAGCTGAGAGGGCAAGTTCTTGATGTGTGAGCTGAGGGAAAGAATGTGGTGTGATTGTGCATCATTCCTCCTAATCACATGCTCACAAAGTGCTGTGTGGGCAGCATGTAGAAACTACAAGTTTGAATGCTGAAAGTTGTGTGTATTTTAAATTGTTCTGTTTTCATCTGAGCCAGAGGCTTATAGTTTAGAAGAAAAAATGTCTACCTTGAATGTACATGTATATTTAGTATCAAAGGAAAGTACTTTGATGCTAGATGAAACGGAGTGAATTTCTTCTGCTTGGTAGACACATTTATTACATTTATTTGTTTGTTTGTTTATTTATTTACTTATTTGGATGCTAGTCCTGGGGCTTGAACTTAGCTCCTGGGTGCCTAGCTCTGAGCTTTCTTTACTTAGGGTTAGTGCTCTACCATTTGAACCACATCTCCACTTTCAGCTTTTTTTTGAGTAGTTTATTGTCTCATGGACTTGTCTGCCCGTGCTGGCTTCAAACTATGATCCTCAAATCTCAACTTTTTAAGTAGCTAGAATTATAGGTGTGAGCCATGGCACTCAGCACATTTTTTTAAGTGTTTATAAAAATGTGTTCTAAAAAATGTTATTTTATCAATTCATCATTTTTTAGTCAGAACTACAGGTTTTCCAAGTCAGGGATGTGTTTTTTGGATGCAAAGATAAGTTCTTAGTTAATTACTTGCTTTGACAAGATTGATTAACTTTATAAGTATGAAGGTGGGCCTGGTGCTGATGGCTCATGCCTATTATAACTATTGAGGAGTCTGCCATCTAAGGATCACGTTTTAAAGCCCACTCAGGCAGAAGAGTCATTGATATTCTTATCTCCAACAAACTACTCAGAAGAAGCCGGAAGTGGCACTGTGGCTTAAGTGATAAGCCTTGAACAAAAGAGGCACCCAGGCCCTGAGTTCAAGCCCCAGGACTAGCAAAAAAATAAAGATAAAAAACATGAAGGTGGCTCAACCCTGTATCCTTAGCTACTCAAGAGGCTGAGTTCTGAGGATTGCAGTTTGAAGTCAACCCAGGCAGGAAATGTCACTGAGACTGTTATCTCCAATGAATTGTCAAAAAGTCAGAAGTTTGTTTACTGACTAAATACCAAATTATTTTTGCCAGGCTTTGTGTGTGTGTGTGTGTGTGTGTGTGTGTGTGTGTGTGTTGCTCAAATGGCAGAGTGTTAGTTTTGTACATAAAAGCTCAAGGACAGCACCTAGGTGCCAAGTTCAAGCTCCGCCAGTACTGGTACATACCATACAAAAGGAAAATAGTAAAAATGAAGCTAGCATTTCTTCCTGATTTAAGCACCTGAGAGGCATTGTCTTGACAGTCTCCAGTTCTATAAAAATGGCAGACCAAGGAATTGACCAAAGACCTTGAGATTCCTCAGACCTCAGCCCCCTGATCTTGATCCTCAGACCTCAGCAACCTGAATAGCTAGGATTACAAATGTGAGCCACTGGTGGCTGACTTAATTGACTTTTTCTAGAGCAGGCATGGCCTATGAAAATGCACACCAGACCAAATGATGGTAGGATGCTCAGGAGTTCCATTCTCCTCATTACTGACAATTTTTTACAATTTAGATCCTGCATATGATTACTACACCTTACTTGTTCTTTTTTTCAGCTTTCCTGATGAGCATCTATGATTGCTATACTCAAATTACAAGTAACTTCTCTTCCCTGTGGCTCTGTTTTCCTACCTTAGAGAAACCCTTGCCTCTGATTCAGTCTTTCTTTTGTAACCAGACCACCTGTCTAGGCCAACACTTGGTGGATCATTCTTGCTACATTTTTCTGGAGCTAGGGACAAGTCAGCATGTTTGACTTGGAAAGTAGCTGGCTGAGATAGGAGTGTCTCAGATGACATTCTCCAGCTGCAACACAATTGAATGCTGGGAGCAAGAAAGAACTTTGCCAGTGCCAGATGCTGTACAAACTCTAGGATTCCTGTCTTTGTTAGCTTGTATTTCTTGTTGGTATTGACACCAGTGTTGTTTTTTTCCCCCTGGATCTTTTGTTTGTTCATTCATGTTTTTGTGTTGGCCCCTGCCTTCTGCCAAGACATGTTCCTCTAAGGCAGTCTTCCCTTTGTTCTGCTTGATACTGAAACTTCTGTGCCTTATCATCTTTACCCACCTCAAAGGTAGCTACTCTCCAGCTGTTGAGTCTTATTTTCTGGAGATGCTAGCAAGTGGTGGGTGTTACTAGTCTGTGTCTTCTCCCAAATTTCCCTAACATTTAGCGGAATTGGCTTTTTTTTTTTGTTTGTTTGTTTTTTAAGAAAAGAGTGGTGTGTAGGACAAAGACAGAAGAGTGTCAATAAGAAGCCTGTAGGAAAAAAAAAATAGACAAGGAAGAAATATTTTTAGTTTGGACAAAAGTAGTGATGGAGATGGTAAGCAGTGTTTGAAGTGGGCGTATCCTTTGAAGATAGATCTGAATCATCAGTGGATTGGCTATGGGATGTGAGAGGCAAAGTATCAAGGATGGCTGCAAGTTTTTTTGGATGTTAATCTCAGTAAAATTTAGAAGTAATTTCTAACTTTCAACCATTTTTTAGGTTGGCATTTTTTTATTTTCCTTTTTTATTTTTTGTCAGTCATGGGGCCTGAACTCTGGGCCTGGGTGCTGTCCCTCAGCTCTTCAGCTCAAGGCTAGCACTCTACCACTTGAGCCATAGTGCCACTTGCGGCTTTTTCTGCTTATGTGGTGCTGAGGAATCGAGCCCAGGGCCTCATGCATGCAAA